TCAGATTGAGTTTGTTTAATTGCGTTTCATAATTTATATTTGTTTACCCTACGTTCCTTTGTTCTTTTACGAAAAAGCCAGCCGATGACACAAGCCATGTATCTGCATCTTTATGTTCCAATTTTATTAAATCAGTTTAATATGTTGTATAGTAATGTAATATAATTGTATTATTTTTTTCTGTTGTATAGCGATACTTACGACTTTTATTTTGATTTTGAGCATCCATAAGCATTTTGTCGGCCACCGTTTCATAAAGCTCAGAACCGGTATCACCGTTTGCTTCAGCCACTGGTATATCGGGTAAGGAACGATGGGCTGCTGTGCTGGCCCTAAGAACAAATCGGAATGCATATTATCAACGGTATTAAATGTTGATTATTTTGACTAACCTCTTTTCAGAATCCGCTTGAGATACAGTTGAATTATTAAGATCGACATGAGATTCACTGGCATTCAATTGTGTCACAACTACTACTTCATCGGGATTTTTTAATTTAACCATGCCCTCCAAACCCAGCAGGTCATTTCTGGAAAAAATTGAAATAAACATGAAATTAAATAATATTCTAAAAATATTGGTTAAGGTGATCCCTAAATCGGGTAATAAAATAATTTATAAACCTGGAGTTCAATTAGCTCCATGGCAATTATATTTAGGGACTAGAGACTTAAGACCATTGAGTCAGTTCTAAGAAATTCAAATTTTCCCAATAGCTGTGACTAAGGGCCGGAAGGAACGTTCGGAGAAGGGTATAATTGAAGTAATATCTTTAAGGACAACAAAGGTAAAAGCTACGTTCTCAAAATAATCACAAGAATCGGAATGTATATGATTGGGGCGATATTGCTTTTAAGTAATCTCTAAGGCCGTTAGCTGCAGACAAATGCAAAACTCGTTAGAAATTATAATTAAAGTTGGAAAAACAACTTATATATGACGTAATCACGATACAAAAGAAATATATGTATAGAGCTTTGACATTTTTTAATCAGATTTTGGATTTGTAAAATTTAGATGTCTCTATCCCTTCCAGCACAATATCAGCTTGTATAAAAAATTATCAGCACAGATGGTTGCTAATATTTTGATTATTAGAAAAGCATTTCCTGGTGGAAATCCGAAAGTGCATTCAGGGAATATTTTTTTTTTTTTCGGTAACAATTTATGCTATCAGAATTTGAAGATTTGATCTATTGATGCATTTAAAACGTTAAGCTATTAGCAATTTTTAACAAGGCCTGTGCAACAAAACCTTCCTTTTTCAGTGAAAGGCCCTTGTGTGTGGTGAAGTAGACACTTTTATGTAAAACGATTTTATATATTTGCATTTAGGACCTTAAGAGATTTACATAGATATCCACAGTATAAGTTTTGAATGTCCAACTCAAACTTTAACAATTTTCAACAAAGGTCCAGTTCATAATTTATATCCGTTTTTAGTATTGACATTTGGAAAGCCCCGATCACATTTTGCAAACGAAAGAAAAGTCATTTATATTTCGGTTTTGTAAGAGGCAAACTTAATCTCACAAACGTCTTGCTAATTTAATTTTTTTTCTCACGCTGCAGGACATAAAAAGTTCGTACAGACCGTACTTTCCAGCTTTTTCATGTGGCTCTATAACTTGTGGAAAATATACCTAATTTACAATCTATCCTATGGTGAAGGTAATTAGTTTAGTACTGGACATTGTTGGAAGTTTGAATAGAAAGTAAACCAAGCATGACATCTGAAAAAAATGCTTTTGCAACCATAACGAATGGAATTATGTTGCATCCACTATCGAAAAAAACTATAGCACGACAGCAAATACATAGATCTTCGTCGTCTGTTATGTGCCACCTTTTCTACAGTTTGTTGTTCATGGGGACTAACAATACTTTCCCCGAAATCAAAGTGATGTTTACATCACTGTGTGTTTGTCCAAGAGCAGCACACAACCCAAGTACGACGAACATACATTGCGATGCAAACACCTAAACTCAAATCAACTAGCTAACCAGCAGCAGCAGCAACAACATTTGTACTGAGCAAAATAGCAGCAATGAAATGACTACTGTGATACTCCATCAATACGCTATGATTTAGAAAGGCTTCAGCACCAATACATATGAAACAAGCAAATTCACAATGTAAGCTGCCCCTTCTGCCCCTGGGCCATCAAATGTGCTAGCCCCACAAAACACATACCCTCCCACTCTCCAAACCACAACTGTCAGTCACCTCTGTGACACAAACTGCCTGCAGTAGTTGTAATCATCATTGTCGTTTTTTTTTTTTCTATTACTCACTTTGGCAATTTTTTCTTGCAACAGAGACACGCCGCCAACATTATAACTAATGTTATGGACACATTCACTGTCATCAATAGTATGTAAAGAAATCGTTCCTTCTGATATTCCTCGTTGTTCTCCTCTTGTAACATAATAATTATATTTTGGCCACAAAATTTGTCTCCTGGTGTTTGTATGAATTTGTTTTGTTTTGCTTGGCTGTGTTCGCTGGCTATGCTTTGCTTTCCAATTATTTTTCACTCCTATTAATCACTTTAGCTCCTCCTCTGCGGCAAAGAGCTATTGTTTGTTTATTTAATTTATTCAATTCACAACAAGCACACATTGGACGTTTTGTTTGGGGGGTATTCGGGATCAATAAATAAATATTATTATTCGTTTATAAAATATTTTCTTTTTAGTTTTGCATAGAAATTTTCTTATTCGTAGTGCAGTGTGACGTTTTTCTCCTCACATTCGTAACTAGAGCTGGCAAAAATTCGATGGTACTTTTGATAGTATCGATATTTTATGTTTATGAGGAGTATCGATTGCTAGTTATTTTTCCATCGAAAGAAATGCCAGTGCGAAGATAGATGTGTTAGGTAGTCGCATCAACGTAGCTGACAGTAGAAAGATATGTCAAAACATCGTACAATAAAAAGGTATATAGAGCTCCCAGATGATTACAATTTTCTTCTAAGTGTGCCCGACTTCTGCCAATTTTGTGTGTGTATTTGTTGTTGAAAGAAAATTAAATTGAGGGGGCGCATTAATAATATTAACGAGATTTGCCATGGAATTGAAAGATTGAACACTTAGGATCATATTTTTGAGAGAACATCCAAGCTTTTCATTCATCTTTCGCGCTATTTGACTAATTTCATAAATGGAAAAAAAATCCAATACGTAAAAACAACTTGTTGCCTATAATTTTGAATAATTCTGACAGAAAGCTGGCATACCCTCATGGCTGTATTTCTGTAGTTTTACGAAGCTGTTCTACCTCCTTATTGTACCATGTGTCAAAAGAAGATGTAGTTTAAAACAAAAATATTAATAAATCTCAAATATGAATGAAAAAGTGTATGTAAATAGTAATTTGGTACATAACCAGTTTAAAAATGGTTTATTAACAAAGTAATAACTATTGCTCTGTCCTTGAATCTGCAAGAAACTACTAGATGAGCAATTTTTTGATATAATTACTCTGTCCCAGAACTGTTGGAATGTAAAAGTTTTTACTACCATAACCGATTTTCCCTTTATGCAACTCTGCGCCAAATAGACATTTTAAACTTGCAAAGTGGTTTTGTTCATTTAAGATTTTTTCATAAAATTGTTATAATGAGGAAAACCCACAAAACTTGAATGTAATATTGGGCTATCTCCACAAAATTGAATCCAAGATAGTAAGAAAAGATTGCTCTGTCCCAAAATTTTAAATTTATGTTTTATTCAAAACAATACATAAAAGGAAAAAAATATTTAGGAGGTAGCTTTGTTTTGTATCTGTGCCATGGTATGAACTTATTAATTTCTGTACTAACATTGATATGTCAAAAAAATTTAAATGTTTTTTTTTTTTCGAAAATAATCTAATTTTTAAATGATTTCTTTTACGAAGCAAATCGGAGGTTGTTATAATACACATTTTTTAAAAATTTTTACAAATCTAAATAATTTTTCATTCAGCATTTTCAATTCCAATATTAGTTTGACAGTTGATTGTCCCAGCAGTGACTAATTCCAAAGGGTGTAATGTAATTTCAATGCTTCTAAGAACATGGCATCTGTTATTTCTTTCGATAATATCGATAAAAAAGTCTACAATCTGTAGTTACTTTCAAAGTAAAGTATCGATGCTATCGATATTTTAATCGATTGACAGCTGTAGACACAAGTGCCTAATGAGTTAGTGGGGTTCACAACCCTTTTAAAATTATAAAAATATGCTCTGTTTCAGAACCTGCAATTTTTTTCGATAACATAGAGGGAAAATCGGTTATTGTATTAAAAACTTTGACATTCTTGCAGTTCTAGAACAGATCACCTGTCCACCTACAAAATCTCTCATATTTTTTATGAAAAAGTATTTATGAGGATGATGTTGAGCAGAGCGTTGTATTGTGTAATTTCTAATTTTTTTCGGATGAATTTGTTATTTCAAATACATTTTATCACTTTTTTTGAACAATTGTTTCGAGTACCTTTAAATAACTTAAAAAGGAGTAACAAGTCAAAATAACGATGCGCCTTAGGTTATGCTTTACATTTTGATTAAGGTTATTTACACAGAATTGCCAGGTATAACAGATGATTTTGCATATTACTTGAACTCCGCCTTGCTATATTAAACAGTCCTTCTTCTATGTAACATTTATTGTTTCAATTACATAAAAATTGTAAATTTAAATAAATTATGGAATAAATATTTGTAAGACTCAATGATTTATTTTTCTTCTCATATTTTCCATAATGAAATTTTCGATATTTTTCTACTGCTTACCAATGAGTAAACAAACCGATTATGCCATATATAGCATACATTACTACATAGTCTAGTCTTGTATGTAGGACATTCATACACAAGTATGTATGTTTGTACACAAATGTATCTCATCAATAATCTAAATATAGATCATGTCTACGTAAAGATGTTGGCAGTATAAAAATCTGTTTGCCTCTCGCGGCATAAGTGAATTGAAATTAGTATTGCAACGAATTTTCAGCTGAAAACAATAAAGGCGCTAAGCGACAAAAAAACCATAACACTATTTGTGTGTGAAAAAGAATAAAATAAATACAAAGATTAAAAAATAATTTTTTAAAGTAAAAAAGTACAAAAAATGCCTGCCATTGACAAAGTTTCAACGGAAAAACATGAAGGTGATATTGTCTGCATTGCCTCCTATGGAGATCAGATTTTCACCGGAGGTGCCGATGGTAAAATTAAAGTTAGTATTTGTTATTTATTAAAAAAAAAAAAATTAAAAAATTATGAAAAATTGGGAAAATTCTGGCAAATTCCCTCACTAAAAATGAGCATTTTTTTATGAAGGAAAACATCTGTTTTGAAGAATGTTTGTGCGAATGTGTGTGAGAGAGAATGTTCTCTTTTTGCGCTGTGGTGGGTGTTTTGCCGACAGAAATGTTATTGCTCTGCAAAAAACTTCCGATCATTTTAATTGGTATTGAAGAAAAACAATGTTTTGAATTTTTAATTAAAAAAATAAGGAAAATGCTAGAAAGTTGTTTAGGCGTCATCGTGTGACTGAAATATTCCATATGCAATAATTAATATAAAAGGGTAAACAAATAAAATGGAAGAAAGAAAGGGGTCTCAGAAGAAAGGAGTTTTAACTGTTCATTTGACAATTCTAGTGTTTTCCAGTCTAAAATCTTTCCTATCACGAAACTTTTAGAAATGGTTGAAAGTAAATTGAAAAAAAGAAGAACTAATGAAGAAACCAAAATAAAAATTGGTTGTCAAATCGATTGGAGAATGTGGTAAAGAACTTCGTAATAATTACAATCTTTATATAAGGGCTATACCCAAATATTGACCAATGTTATAATATTTTACAAGTAGGATTTCTACATAATAAGAACTCAAAATACCAACACTTGGCCAAATTAAATGGAAAATATTAATAAAATGTAAAATATACTTGAAATCGCAGTTGACCCTTGGTATATTTCATAACTGCAAGAATGTAAAAGTTTTTACTACGATAACCAAATTTGCCTTTGTGATATTGAAAAACAAAATGTAATACTTGTGGATTCTTGCAGGTTCTGGAATAGAGGCCATTCCACAAAGTCCCATTTTTAATACAATGATTCTTGAAGTGATCTAAATGTTGCGAAATATAACTCAAAGTATTGAGGTGCCCTTGTGTATGGTTAAGGTCATGGCCAATTTAATATGGTCCCAAAGGAGGCGAATTCAAAAACCTTGACTTTCTCCTCATGCAAAATTCCGTGTCGATTGATGACCTATAGATTGACTGCAAAATCAGGAAAATTTTAATTTTTGGTCCATTTGAACATCAAAATGTACATCTCCACAACAATAGGCTTTCATTTTGACCCTAACCCTACCCCCATGCAAAATTTCGTGATGATCGGACGATAATTGCGACCTGTATATAGGGTGAGATGAAAAAACTGCAACCAACTTCAGACTGCTGTCATTTCTAAGCCGCTCGTCCGACAGCTGTTAACATTATTCCAGTGACAGCTCATTATATTGTTTACAAGCGTACAAAAGTATTTTGGTGAGAATTTTCCAGAAAAAAAGTTATTCGCGATGGAATTCAAGCGTGATAGTGTGATTTCTTTATAATTGGCGGGAAAACCACAAGTGGCTACCGTTGGAGCACTCCAACATTTAAATGTGAATAAATCTTTTGTGTCTCGTACCATCGCTCGCTACCGTGATACTGGCTGGTAGCGTAGCCCCATGTCAAGGAAGTGGACGGAAGAAAACAGCAACGTTAGTAGAAATGGTTGGAAAAGTAAAGAAGCGACTTGATCGAAACCCGCCTCACAGTGGCCGAAAAATGGCTCGTGAGCTGACCATATTGCAATATTCCATTCGGCAAATATTGACAAATGAGCCGCAACAGAATAGACTCAAAAGAGCTATAGAGTTGCTTCGCTTTGCCTAAAGTGGTGAACTGCCGAATTTGGTTTTATCCGATGAGAATATATTCGTTGTCCAGCAGTTTGTTAACAAACAAAATGCTCGTGTATACTTGCCAAAGAGGTCAGCTGAAAATGTGCACCTTCGGTTGGTCACCAGAACACAAGCGTCGGCCATGGTGATGGTGTGGGCTGCCATAACAACCGACGGTTGCTCTCCGCTTGTATTAATCGACCGTGCATCAGAATAAATACCGAATATTATCGCGAAAATATTCTGGAGGGTGTATTAAAGCCTTGGGCACGCAAACATTTTGGCCGCAGACCTTGGACATTCCAACAGGACGCGCCACCCAAGAATGGTTATAAAATGAAGTTCGTTGCTTCATTTCCAGTGCACAATGGCAACATTCGGGCAACGTGTGACGGTTTCATTGGCCGTTTGAAGGCCATAAATCGTGCCAAAGGTGACCAATTCGAACAAATCTAAACTTATTCTAAAATTTGATGCTATTTCCGAAATTTTTGCTTCCATTCAAAAAAAAAAAAAAAAAAAAAAAAATGTAAAAATTATGGCGTTTGACTTTGTTGCAGTTTTTTTTATTTCACCCTGTATTTGGGCCAAAGAGACCTAGGGTGAAAAAACGTTATCTCGATGAGGCAGGTTTTTATCGTATCTAATGATATATAACCTCTGTAGCCATAAGACTAAGAATATAAAAATCAATAATTTTTGTACAAGAAGTCCTTCTCAAAATAATTTTTGAATTCCTCAATTTTCCATGATGTCCCAGTAATAAGTAAAATTCGATTTAAATTCGACTATTTTATCAAAGAAAAATGAAATAATAAAAGAGTAGAAAATATTGGAGAAAATTGGGTGGATATTGCAGAAATCTCCAATTCCACCAATTAGTGGACCTTAGTCTAAGAACTTTCGCAAGGAGAGAACATACCTTTCAAGTTTAATATAATTTAGTTGGAAATTGTGGCAGAAAACTTCAAAATACTTAAAACTGGGTGGTTACGTTATATACCACATAATGGATATTAGTCGAAAATTTTACGCAAGGAAAGAACCGACCTTTCAAGAACTCTAAATCTCAAGTTTCAGCTGAGATTTGTGGCAAAACCCTTCAAACTACCGAAAGTCGAGTGGTACCGTTATATGGGGGTTATACCAATTAGTGAAGCTATAGTGAATATTTTTTGTAGGAAGAGAACAAGTTTACAAAGAACCACAAATGTAAAGTTTCAGCTGGCTTGGTTGGAAATTCGCAGAATCCTTCGAAATATCGAAAATCTGGATTTACCGGAATGACAAATTTAATATACCCTACAGTGTACGGTATAGAGTAAAAAAATAATTTTTAAAAAATATCAACAGTTTTATGCAAAATTGTTTTTCCCGTAAAAAACTGCATAAGAATTTCGAAAATATAGCCAATGCACATAAAAACCTAACATAAAATGTCAAAATCAAATAGAGACCCCTTGCATTTTCATTTGGTCTAATTGAAAATTTCACATCTCTCTTTTCTTTATTTACTTACAGATTTGGGATAAAGATTTAAATCTTGTGAAGAGTGTCGATGCCCACGAATCGTACATCTACGCCCTGGCCGTTAACAGCAAGGGTAAATTGTATTCCAGTTCCTGTGATGGCTGTGTCAAATTTATGCAGCCACCCTATGACAAGGTTGAAGAACTCCTTCGCTGTGATGATGTTATCCAGTCGATGTACTGTGAAGGAGATGTCCTTTTCACGGGCGATGACAAAGGTGTGGTGTCGAATTGGGAAAATGACAAAATGATTTTCAAATATAATCTTGTGGAGGAGGTTAAATCACTGGCGGCGGAGAAGGGTTGGATTTATACGGTGCGTGATTTGGATATGGTTATATCGGAAATTGTTCAAGGCAAGTCGGGAAAATATGTTACGAAGGCGGTGTTGCCGGGAAAATCTCCTCTATGTCTTGTAACGTCCACAGACGATGGTAGACACAAATATATTGCTGTGGCCGATCGTACCGGTAAGGGTTTCTTCATTGCCAGCAACTCGATGGCGGATAGATTTAAAGTGCTAATCGAACAACAGGTTGGTGTGCAACTTCTTTTTAAACAATTTAAGAATGTTACTAATGTTTTTCTCTTTGTGATATTCCAGGACTGCCATGAAATGATCATCAATGCAATTTGCACCGATGACACCCATTTGTATACGGGCGGCTATGACAACAAAGTCAAAGGTTGGTCGGATTTGAGCCAGGGCAAACTTAAGGCCTTGGGTGAAGTGGATACGGGTAGCTGTGTTAATGCCTTGTGTTGTTGTGCCAACAATAAAGCCGTTTACATTGCCTGCAGTGATGGTTTGGTACGCCGGGCCAACTTTCTTTAGACCGACGACATCTTGATCTTTGCCATGAATTTAGAATAGGAATAAAATTAAATTATCATAGTTGAGATTTGTAATTTTTAAGTCATTTTTTTAGATCACTAACATCTTTATTTTGCCTGTTAGTATTCTTCATAAGCTCATCTTATTTAACAAATTTGTAATAATAAAGATATTAAAAAAATTTAATTCTCAAAAATATACATTTTTTAAAAAAATATATTTTTTAAATGCCCGTATCAGGTTTTTGATGGAACGTCGACAAATAAGCCCATTTGATTACAAAGTTTATTGTTGACAAAAGTAGCCTTCTTGGCCGACCTTATAAGGACCTAACAAAAACAATTTCAACTCGTTTTGGCATAAACCGATTTACTATTGGTCTGTTCCACATCCTGCAAGAATCTTCCAGTTTTGCTATTTTTTCTGATATCATAAAGGAAAATTTGGTTATCCTAGTTAAAAATTATACTTTCCTGCAATTCTTGAACAGAACATATTTCTAAAATGTGAAAGTTTTGTTGGATAAAAGCATTTTGCCATAGATACATAGTCTTATTTTAAAAATACTATTTTAAAATGTTTAAATTTAGCAATTATAAAAATTAACATTAAAAGATATAAAATTTTCCTAAAAATCCTCGATTTAAAATAATAGGACGTTAAATTAAAACAAAAATATAATAATAAAAAAAAACAAAAAATTACGGTTTTGAATGCAATGCAATATTGAATGTCATCCAAGAATTAAAAACAAAAATGATTTTAAATAATAGGACGTTAAATTAAAAAAAAAAGAAATATAATAATAAAAAAAAAACAAAAAATTACAATTTTGAATGCAATGCAATATTGAATGTCATCCAAGAATTAAAAACAAAAACGATTTTAAAGACAACTAATTAAAAAAACATGTTTTCAAATGTATTTAAAATATCAAAGATTGTAAAAAATTCTTGACAAAAAAGTCCAACAAGTAAAAAAGCAGGTAAATTCGGCCGGGCCGACATTTTAATCCCACCCACCAATTTAAAGTAACTTGAAAAATTCCCAAATAATATGTCGTAAAATACCGTTCAAAGGAGAGAGGCTTTACGAAAACGTTGTCCTGCAAAAGTAATTTTTTGTCATAAATTTGACACAATTTCGGTGAAAAAAATCGTTAAAATAATCATAACACCGAATATGGGGAAGGTGGTGGTATTATGTATGGGGGTATCCTAATATGGGGACCTGCATACACAATTTGTTGTCATAGGCTGTAATGCCCATTAGAAATTTTAAATACGAAATTTAACACAATTCCGGTAAACAATCAGGTTAAAATCATCAAAATACCGAATATCGGTACACCAAAGTACTCAGAAGAATTTCACACAATTCTATTGAAAAATGTGACTAAAACAACGAACTTCGATGGTACCATTATATGAGACCCATACGATATAGTGGACCGATATAGCCCATATTTGAACTGCCTGCAGACAAAAGACTGATCTGTGCAAAATTTTAGCTTCCTATTTTAATTCGTTTTGACTCTAGCGTGATTACAACAGACGATCGAACGGACAGGGCTAAATAGTCTTAGAATTTTACGTTGATCAAGAATATACAGGGTGAGATAAAAAACTGCAACAAAGTCAAACGCCATAATGTTTACTGTTTTTTTTTTAATTTTATTGAATGAAAGCAAAAAATATTGGAAATAGCATCAAATTTTTGAATAAGTTTACATTTGTTGGAATTGGTCACCTTTGGTACGAATTATGATCTTCAAACGGCCAATGAAGCCGTCATACGCCGCCCGAATATTGCTCTGCAGGATTTTGACCCATTCCCGGCGAATGGAGGTAATCGACACTTTGGTATTTTTTAGTGCCAACCTTGCTTTCCAAAATACTCCAGACGCAATAGTAAAACGGATTGGTATCCGGAGATTTTGATGGCCATTGTGTACTGTAAATGAAGCGAGGGACCTCATTTTGTAACCATTCTTGGGTGGCGCATGCTGAGTGCGATGTTGCAGAGTCCTGTTGGAATGTCCAAGGTCTGCGGCTAAAATGTTTGCGTGCCCAAGGCTTTAATACACCCTCCAGAATATTTTCGCGATAATATTCGGCATTTATTCTGATGCCACGGTCGATTAATACAAGCGGAGAGCGACCATTGGCTGTTATGGCGACCCACACCATCATGCCCGGCGCTTGAGTTCTGGTGGCCAACCGAAGGTGCGCATTTTCAGCTGACCTCTTTGGCAAGAAAAAACACGATCATTTTGTTTGTTTACCAACTGCTGGAAAACATTCGTTTCCCATCGGAGAAAACCAAATTCCACAGCTCACCACTTACGGCCAAGCGAAGCAACTCTTTAGCTCTTTTGAGTTTAGTTTCTTTCTAATGCGGTGTAAGTTGTTGCACTTTTTGGAATTTCAATGGCTTTACCCCCAGCTCATTTTTCAATATTTGTCGAATGGAATATTGCGATATGTCCGGCTCACGAGTCATTTTTCGGCCACTGCGACGCGGGTTACGATCAAGTCGCTTCTTTACTTTTCGAATCATTTCTGCTGATGTTGCTGTTTCCTTGGGTCTACTTCCTTGACGTGTGGGCTACGCTACCAGTATTACGGTAATGAGAGATCGCACGAGACACAAAAGATTTATTCACATTTAATTGCTGGAGTTCTTTAACGATAGCCACTTTGTGGTTTTCCAGCCAATTATAAAGAAATCACACTATCACTCTTGAATTCCATCACGAATAATTTTTTTTCTAGAAAATTCTCACCAATATGCTTTTGTACGCTTGTAACCGATATAATGAGCTGTCACAGAAATAATTTTAACAGCTGTCGGACGAGTGGCTTAGAAATGACAGCATTTTGAAGTTGGTTGCAGTTTTTTCATCTGTATATACTTTGTTGGGTGTGAAATGATTACTACTACGATATGTTATAAACGTCCATGTTATGGTGGAGGGTATAAAAACTAAGTTTATAGGTGATCCACGATTCTTCAAAGTCTAAAAAAGTATATTTATAAAATCTAAAATTATGTGAGAGTCTTTGAGATTTTTTTTTAATTAAAAAAAAATGTTAAAAAAGTATACTAAAAATTAATAAAAAAAACGTATATATCTTTTATGAAACAGGCTTAATCCCTTTATTGTTCTTTTTATAAAAACATCGTTTGTTTATTAGTGGAGAACGGTGGTAATGTTTACCAGGGGGTAAGGCAGGGAATAGCTAGGTTTCGGAAAGATCCACCAATACAACAATAAAGGGATTAACACTAACCATTTTGCAACAACAAAATACTATGGTATTCCGAACAAACAAGCCAACACTGTTCTTTTATGAAACAGTTTATAAAATCCACGTTCACTACTGTTTGGTATTCGAAAAAAAATGTTAAACAATGATTAGGGCATGGTACAATGATATAGAGGTAACCTCATTTCAAATTAGCATTCCCAGCTCTGCATTTTCTATAATTTACCTTTTCAAATTTCCATGCATAAAAAACAATTTCCATATCTGATTTTGTGTGCATACAATGTATAAATTTGAAAAAATTATAAACATATGATTACATGGCCTTACCTTCTTAGTTCTACCATGGATTAGGATTTGGCCTTAGAAAAAATATTTATAAAAATATTGTTATTTCTGTGTGGTCCTTAACAAAAAATATTAATTAATTACTGTTAGGATTTTGAAAAAAAAATTAAGAAAAGTCCAAGTTTGCAGTTGTGATAGTCTTTGAAAAATATTTAAGAACAATCCCACGATTGTAACTACAATAATCTTCAATAGTTGTGATTATGTTTGAGCAATATTAAATCCACTATTTTGTGATAGATTTTGAAAAAATATGTTTTTTTTTTTTTTTAACTCCATGATTATGGCATAGCATATTAACGACTAAATTTTTCTGGGTCGGCGATGCCTTACCTCCAAGAAATTCCCTTTGCCTCCAATGAAAACACCATGTCTATGTTGTTTTTTATCTTTTTTCTTTAATTTCCATTTTCTTGTTTTTGTTGTCTTTTAATAGTTTATAGTTTTCAGTTGTGTTGAAAAGAATTTACAGTTTTATTTTTAATACTAAACACAATTAACAATTCCTTTTTGTTCATGAAATATTCTAAGATTTTTGTTTTCTTCTTCTTCTTATTCAGCAATTCAAGAATAATAATACTAATAAAAAAAAAAAAAAGATTAAAAACAAAACAATTGTTTTGAAAATAAGACTTTAAATTATTTAATTTTTTTTCAATTCGTATCATTTGAAAGATTGTCTCTGCTGCATTAGAATAGAGATAGAAATGATGTTTTTTTGTTTTAATTAATTAATTCTTTTCGTTTCGCATTTAATATAATTTTGTATGCAATAAATTTTTTGCAGCATTCGGATTGCTAAATTCAATTATTGTTAATTTAATGTAATTTGTTAATTTATTTTCATATTTTCTTTTTGCTAATGTTTGTTTTAAATTTTTTCACTTTAATTGTAATGTTAATGTTATAACCTATACACAAAACACACATTTATACATTTAATTCACATTTAATTATTTTTTTGGGATGTTATTGTTTTTCTCACTTAATTTACTAAAATTTAAATTATTTTATGTTATTACTTATTTATGGTAGATTTTGTTCAAAGAAATTGCAAACTATTAGGAAACATTAAGGAAAACACATGAAGAGAGCTCAGAGCTGGATTTTTTTACTCTCCGTGAAAAAGTTCTCTCAACTAAATGGAAAGAGAAAATGTAGGCAAACTTTGAACTCTCCGAACTCATTACAAATGACAATTACAATTCTTTAATAGTAAAACTAAATTAGACGAGCGTATTTATGAAATATTTGTATACGTCTTCAACTCGGCAATATTGAAAAATCATTCGAACAGAAAAATTAATTTCTTGAAAATTTTATTAATTTATTCCAATACGTATACGTTTCTTGATCATACATTACATACATACATTCATACAAACATACAGTGTAAATAAATATTGCTTATAAACCAGAGACATTTACCGAACACCCTGTTGTTAGACATTTCAATATCTATAGTTTTCTTAATTATATATTTATATCCTTAATGTTACATTACATTTAAATACTTAAATTAATTTAATATTAATTTTTACTGTTTTTTA